CGGGATTTTTGGGCGCTGCCGGTATCTTTAGCTTAGGGACGAGGAGGAAACCAAAAAACACCCCCGAGGGGGAGAGAGAGAGAGAAGCAACCGGCTTAATCATGAAAGTTATTGATTGCCAGGTAATGAGGGGAGCCACCCAAACAAAGCCGTGATAATATTAACTCTAACTTGCATTTGATTATAAAAGTCAGGTGTAGAGAACGATCCCTGATCACACCAGTCAGGGTCAGAAGCTACAGCGCGAGAGCGAGAGCTGGGTTCTCACCGCGCCGTGAAGCTGGAATCGATCGGGGCTCCCAGTGATGGTGGGAGCTGCGCCAGGCAGAGCCCCCAGCACGCCCAGTCAGGAGAAGATGACGTTCCCATGGAACTGATGCAGAGTTTGGATCCAGGCATCGGAGCACTCACCTGAGCGTGGGTCGGGGGTTTGTAGGGAAAGAACAATGGAGAAACTCGGTTTCTTTAGGGGTAAACAATGGAGAATCCCAGAGTTGCTTTGTTCAGGCTAGACGTGGGAGCTGCTCATTCCTGGCTGGGGGCGATGTTCCTTCCAGGGAGCTCCCAATGCAATTAGGCAGCTTCACTATTTTGGATCCCAATAAAGGATTTATTGCTAGAATCGGTCTGATCACTGCTGTGTTGTGAGAGGCTACCGGTGCTTCTGCTTTCTCCTGTTGATATCACTCGGCTGCGTGCGTGTGTTCCCTCTGTGTGCTGCCCCAGCTCTGCGCAGATAGCTGACACAGCAGACCCGACGAGAACCCCCAATGACCACAGAGTCTAGTAAGGTACGAAGGCACCTCGGCCAGGTTTATTGCGACCCTGACACAATTTCAGTTCCCCGTAGACTACTTAGTCTACCGGGCATACTGCTAGAAAGTGCCGCTCGGCAATGGACTCAGCTCAGTGGCGGGACTTTCCACTGCCCCCTCAGCCGGACAAAGACACCACCCCAAGGATCCATTTTTATCCACAGATACAAACAAGTTACACATCACTCCTGACGTATTGAGGTGCAACCCCTCTACGTAGCAAGGTACAACCCCTCTACGTAGTAAGGTGCCGCCTCGCACCTTGTACCTGTTGGTTCGATCAAAACATCTCTATCCATCATTTTACCCTTTTGCCCCTGTCATTGGGATGGGTCGGCCTGTTCCCTGTTATCTGTGGAATGTTCCGGTATAGTGTGTCTTGGTACCATGTTTATACTGAAACTATGCAGCATCAGCCCTTTCCTTGCCAGCTTCTGTGAGCAGGGCCTGCCTCTGGCTCACAGCTTCACTTTGCTTTTATGCTAGCAAAGTCTTGACCATTACTTTAGTTCAGGCCTCAGGGCCTTTACTTACTACAAGCTGGGGGTGGACAGGCGGGTTCATTGACAGCTGGAGCAGAGATCCCCCATCATGCACTGCTTCCCTGCTTTGCTGGTCCCAGAGTTCAGTGCGGTTCCTGCCTTGGAGTCTCTGTTCTCCAATCTGTAGCTAATGGAGATGCCTCCTTGTCCCATCTTCAATGCAAATGACACTTAATCCTGTCCCCCTTATCCCAGGGGTCTAGGTGTGTCTCCCACCCCCCTTCACTGCTCTCTGCAAGGCCCTTCTCTGATGGGTTTTGGTTCAAGCAGAGGCTGGGGGGCCGGGTCTTTCATGAGTCAGACAGGCTGGGTACAGCGCCCTGGTTCCCCAAGCACACAGAGCTGATGGGAACTCCTGGTTTTACTTCGAGTGATTGCTCATGTGTATTCCACAATAGTTTTTCCCCTAGCAGTATCCGTAGGGGAGCGTCCCTAGGGACCCCTGGAGTGGCACTGCTATGGCGCAGAATAAGGGGAGCTGCGCGCTCCCTCCACCCTCAGTTCCTTCTTGCCGCCAGTGAAGGTGCGTCGGAACTGCCCTGCTCCAGCTTGGCTGCACTTCCCTCTTGGACTCTGTTAGTTCAGAGTTCAGAGTGCCTGTCATTAAAGTAGTTTAGTTTAGTGCGCCCAGGTGGGGCATGCCCTGTGCCCCGAGACACTTGCAGGCAGCAGATGCCAGTGAGTGGTCCACACGTGGACTGTTTACGCTGTGTGTGGGAAACCCATCTCCGCAATCGCTGCAAGATTTGCAGATCCTTCAAACTCCGACCAAGAAGGAAAGGGCCGTTCGGCTCCGAGCCATTCTGATGGAGTGGGCCCTGACCCCGACACCGTTGCGCTGCTCCAAGTCGGCACCAGGTACCGCGGTGTCGGTGCGCGGTGACCCTTTGGTGCCTTCCACCAGCCTTCACCTCTCCCCATCTGCAGGACACTCCAAGAAGGCAAAAAAGAGGTCTTCTCTGCCAAGACACCGGAGCAAGACTGGGGGAGAGACTAGACCCACATTGGGCAGCTCTCAGTCCCCATTGGCCTCATGGCCTCTGACTCAAGTTGAGCGGAGTAGCCTGGCCTACTTCGAGCCGACCTCCCCAGATGTCTGGGTGCCCTGCAGGCAGCCCTGGACGTTATGTCTCTGCCGGTATCAGGGGCACCACCACTGTTGGCTCCCCAGTCCAGAGGAAAGCCACCGCTCGGATCCCTGCAGTAGCCACCTGGACGGTACCGCTCACGGTCTAGGGAAGGTTCCCGACGCCGTTCACCGCTCAGCGACCGCCCCATGCGCAGTCCGCGCCAGTCCCCGTCGACCCCCACCAGGTTGTCTGGCTGGGTACTGAGCAGCAGGGGTTCCAGGCACCTCGAGAGGAGAGCGTGCCCTGTCGAGACCAGGACAGATGGCACCGGAGGTCCTTGTCTCCAAGAGGCTGCCAGAGCCCTTCGCAGTCTGGGCATCGACACTATTCCTGTTCTTCATCTCACTCCAGGACCCCGCCACAGTCCCAGGCATTGATTGCTGGCACCCCACTGTCGTGGGTCCGCCCGTCGGAGCTGGTCGCGGAGCAGCTGCTACCGGCAGTACTCCCACTCCTCCACACTGGGATCACGGTCTCGTGGTCGGCACTGTTCCCGACGCCACCGCTCGTCCTGGTCCCAGGTTAGCGGCAGATCATATGCCAGCCTGGCCTCCCTTCGCAGTCGTCAGTTGATGGACCAGGCTAGCCAGGCTGAACAGATGAAATCTCACCCTCAGAGATGTTCCAGTAAGCTTCTTTTACAGACTAGCCTCCTTCTAGTCGGGGTCCAGCAATCACTCCCACCCCCTGTGGTTACTGTCCTTTGTTCCAGTTTCTCTCAGGTATCCTTTCTCCACCCCCAAAGGATATCTCTTGAGCCAGCAGAAGACAAAATGAGTACTGAGTACTGAGTACAGCTGACCAACTGCCTCACTGAGGCTACTTAAAATTAAACAAGTACATAGCCAATATTCATCACTTCGAATACAAGAATGACACATGCATACAAATAGGATGAATATATCCAGCAGATCACAACCTTTGCAGAGATATGTTACATGGCATATCTAGCACAAAACATATTCCAATTATGTTATATTTACATTCATAAGCATATTTCCATAAAGCATTATGGGGTGCAATGTCACAATCCCCGCCCTGGAGCCCGGGGACTGGTATGCCGCCCTCCATCTGCAGGACGCGCACATCCACTTTCATATATTCGAGGGAGAAACGTTTTCTCCGTTTCACAGTTGGGCAGGAGCACTACCAGTTTACTGTCCTCCCGTT